TAGCTGCCACAGATGTTAGAGCAGTAAGAATTCTTAAGACAGTTTTTAACCATTTTAACCTCAATTTTAAAATGTATGCCTCATATGAACCAAGAATGTTTTTACAGTAGTTTTTTAATTTGGGGGATTTATCTTGGATTTATACTGGTGACATCTTTAAAATCATCTCTAGATTTTGTTTTCTTCAAGAATAAATGTTTACACTAGAAAACAGATAAACAACTTCACACAACAGGTTTTGAATTAAAGCATGTTTCAGTTCCTTAACACTAATGCAACACAATGGAATATACAGAAGTGTAGTAAAACTGAGCAAGCCCCAAAGAAGTTTTGCATAATGCTCAAAACCAATCGATTTTGAGTGACAGTAGGCTTTCAAATAACTGCATTATTCTTCAAAAATAAGGAAAAAGAATCACAGCATTATGGCTGCAAAATTGGACTCTTACTATAGATTGCTATTGCTGGGGCTTTTTTGATAGAAGATAAAACCTCTGTAATCTTTGCTAGCTTTCAAACAAAATGAACAAAGTATTTCATTTATCACTACTCAGTTCTAACACCCCAAACTTGGTAAAAGTTGGTGTGGCCCTCCAGACCCCTCAGGCACATAGAAATCAATCAGAAGCATTACAGTAGAAGAGATCCAATCTCCTCTTCTTCACAGGGACTAAGTCCAGTGAACAACTTAATCTCACCAAAACATGTCAGTACATAAGCCTGGGAGGTAAATAAACCATGAAAAGGGAAAGGAATTTGAGAGTCTTCCTAAAAATGGGTATCTGATGTTAATAGCAAGACCTACAGAGCATGCCTTTCAGTGCCTTGTAGTGGGTATAGCCAGCTCTTTTAAAACTGCACTTGCCTGATGAGCAGTATAACGCCCCGTGTTGGAGGGATGTGTATTCATAATTTTTTTTTTAATTCAGCAGACTGCAGAATGTTCTATGAATTTACAAAGCAGCTGTGAATGCTATGGGCAGCCAGGGACAACGGGCCACCTCTTTCTGTCCATCTTGATTTTAACCGATATTTCAACCATCTCGGCAAAATGGTTACAGTCATAAGCACGAGTTTTGTGGACACCTTTGTCTGAAGTTTTAATCAAATTTTTCTATGGAGTCATGTGGAAAGCTGGTGAAGAGATGTAAAATGCTCTGCATTATTACTAATGTTATAGCATGAAGATTCTTTCTAAAAATAGGCACGCACATTTCACTTGTAAAACTCACCTTCAAGAGGACAGACAGGTATTGTGCAGTAGTCTCTTTTTCAGGATTTGGTTCAGTTAGCATCTGAAACACAACAAAAAATTAAAGCGGAGATGTCATCTTTTAGGCTAGGCAACTCTGTTTCCCATTCTTGCTCTTAAGTTCCTTAAGTTCAAAGAGTCATTTCTACTGCCATTTCACTGGATGAATTAACAAGTTAGCAAACTGCACCCATCCTGTCCAATGAGTACAATGAGACTGTGTTAGCAGAGATCCACTCATGGCAAAGCGTTACCCTATTGCTTCAGCATGTCCAACATGGTACTTGCCTTCAGGAGCGGGTTGTGTTTTTAAAAAACTTTTGATATTTAAATTTTAATTACTTACCCAGTGATAACTGGTTAAGTTGGAGATTCCTCCAATCCATTATATTGTTCTTCATGTTTATCCCGATCTGTTTCTTCAAACAGAAACTTGGTGACAAACTACTTAGTGTCCACTGAACTAGCTGAAATAAAATTGTGGATGATTTGCTACTAATATATTCAGTTGAGTGGAAAAACAGTAAAACCGATTACTGTATTTCAAATAAATTTGTGCTGCCACAGCTCTACTTAAATCCAATTTTTAAAACTTTTTAGTAATTAGAAATATATACACCGTTCTAATGGAGAAACCCTGTAAATACAGATGTTTTTAAATTTCCTATGAAGCATAAAATTAATCCACTTTCTGATAAACTTTTATTATTCCACCTGGTCACTGGATTCTTTAATAATAATAATAGAAGAAATCCAGTTCTTGTCCATGTGCACAAAACAAGTAAAATTTCCTACTATCATTATGGTCCATCTTTTTCAGTCTTGTACAATAATACAACTTTTGTACAAGCAAACTAACGATCCTAATTTATTTGCTTTTAAACTAAGCGTAGCTATGTGGCTTGACCTGAAATACTCCCTTCAAAGACTATATAATAATTTATTTCATTGAACTTGGTATTCCTTACTTTTCAATGAATCTGAGAATTACAATTCCACACATTCTCAGAAGAGCACAAGGATTCATCACTTTGTCTGAAAATCTCCAAATTGATATCAGTATCTTTGCATATTTAGAAGTACATATATATGCGCACAATTATAAGATCAAGAAAAAACAAAAACAAATGACAGCAACACTGTAAAGATAATGAAGTTTTAAAACCAAGGGCTCCCTACTGCTTTCTGCCTGACTGTACTCATGAGGACATACCTCTGTGCAATTTTTTGGATACAATGGAAAGAAGGAAAAAGCTTCTGAATGGTTTAGTTATTTAGTGATTTTATATTATCAGCCTTTGCCCTTATTTGTTCTACCTGCTCCTGATTTCATGCATTTCTTTGATGCTGTAGTGAAGTAGTTTCCAGTTCATTTGGTATCATGAAAGCAAATCAACACCATAATATTAGTCCATAGACAAATCTACCGTTTTTTTTTAAAAAGGAAGGACGTTTTCAAAGGAAGTCTCACACTATCAAACCCTTCTCTGGTCTTTCCTCACGAATGAGAAAACAATTCGAGTGTTTGTTGTTGGTGGTTTAGTTTTGGACTACAAAGATTTCTCCAAAATGGCCCTGAATCTCCATTGTCACTGTTCTTTAGTAAATTTAGCTATCTTGACTTACTTCTGACTTTATGATAGGTAGCTTTGATATTCAGGGACTAAAACCCATGCATATTCCCTCCTCTTCCACTTCAGTGGGGACTTTTCAGGGAAGAAAGAATATAAACTTCTTTTGTGCTCTAGAATGGTCTTCATACTATAATCCCATTAGGCTAAACACATTATGAATTCTCTTTCCACACTTTAATTCTCCTAATATCACATGTTTTAAAGAAATCAATTTTTAGTTTGTAGTCTAATGACCATTTGTCACATCAGAAAAAAACCCCACAACAGTACTTGCTACATCAGCCAATAATCACAACATTTTTTCTTTAGCTTCTTTATTTAAAATCAAGTTATATATCAGTTAATTTCAGCGATAAGAAACTGTTCTCTGATAAAATCCCACTATATTGGAATGGTAAACTCTTAACTACTTTTATTTAAGAAAATAATACAACTATGCCCCACAAATTATGACAGAGTTTGAAAAGAAATATCTCTTTCTTTTCTAGGTAATGAAGAAAACGTCATAGAAGTACATAACAAAGCTATAGAAAATTCAGGAAAAAAATACAGAAAAATAAAAGCCTCCTATGGGTTTTATCTTAGCCAAAAATTCTTTACTTGAAATAAAACATTAATAAATGGCTTTATACAAATAAATACATATTTTAATAGGTGAAATGTATCTGAAACATGAATTCTTCCTGTTTCAAAATTTCAAACTATGTAAAAAGTCAAAATGACAGGCTATACTGGCCAAAGGTTGGTTACAAGAGTCTTTATTTTGCAAACTATACAGAAACAGTAAAAAAGAAAATGCATTATACTTTTCAATATTACACAGGTTAAACATTAAATTTAGTATTTAATGTGTAGAAATTAATTCAAATAAGAAACTGATTTTCCTTGTAATTAACGATGGGAAACCAGTGATCCAATTTTGAAATTATACAACCTGTAGTATTGCAGGTCATGACAATTTTATTGTGGGCAGAAAGCAACATAAATGATATGAACGAAGATGGTGGAGTCCCAAAATGTCTACACAATTAATTGACATGCTAACATAAATACAGTGATTAAAGTAATTTTCTCTACAGTCAAATCTTAAGTGCTACTCTACACAATTATAATCTAGTCCACATGGTAATTACGTAACAATAGGAAAAAAATTAAAATAAACCATTTTCTTCATTCCAGCAGCAGTACCTATACTGGTATTAATTTGGTAATTGGGTGTGCTTAGCTATTGCCTAACATCCTATACTGGTATGCATGCTAAAACCTCTCTATTTCTATTTTGCAAGGCACCTTTACAATACGTTCTCTAAGTTTCTGCACTAGTAACAGAAAACAACATGAATTAAGATAAAGATGCAAAACTATTTCCTGAATTAAGAAAATAAAAAGTATCACTATACATTTATTAAAAACTACTTTGGGGCAAGTGCCAATACTCTGCAATACAGTCATGTATAAAGGTAATATAATTTTAAGCAAATTTTTTTCCCCATGTAAAATATTTTATGCTAATCTGATTAGAGAGAAACACAGAGAAACAACAAAGGGTGAAGTGATGTTTGAGTAAATAATGATAAAACCTATATGACCTTGACATGAAAGAAAAAAAAATAAGGAAGGACAAGAAAACTTCAGAATTATAGAATTGGTGCTTGTCCATGCTACTGCTTTTGAAAGATCCTTTCAATAACCTAGCCATTTCCTAATAAAAAACATAACTACAAATGCAAACACAAAGGAGGACTTTGCTTTGTTTTTCCCTTCTGATAATTTTTCTCCATACCTTTGGTTAATTAAAGGCTGGTGAGATGCTACTTGTGCACCAATGTTTTTCTATTGTAATATATTTTTTATTTATTAAATGGACAATTTGCAAAGCCCGCAGGCCTAAAACACTGACAGAACTAAAGTTAAGTTACAGTATGTGTTATGAAGAGGACATGCACAGTTCCAAGTAAGGGAAAATATCTTTTCACCGGAGTTTTAAAGAGACTGGTTGTCTTTATAGCGTGTTTTGCACATTTATATTTTCAGTAGCACATAACATTTCTTTCTTCAGGCTAGACTTCCAATGTGTTTTCTTCAGCGCAAAGGCATTTAAAAACTCAAAAGCACATAATATAATTAGTCTTATTTAAACAAAAAAAAGTCTATGACTCCAGCGGCAATGTTTGAAATAATCATACAAAATATACATGTTTGTTAGAATCCTTTTGATCTTGGAGAGCAAAGGGATTTTATGAAATGTCATCTTCTGAATTTTAGAAAGGTACAATTCATGGACCCCCTAATTTCATCAAATATATCCATCATGATCATCATCATCATCAACATCATCATCTCCTTCGTCTTCATCATCATCTTCAATTTCATCTTCATCATTCATTATTTCGTCTTCATCATCTTCATCATCTGTCCATTCATGGAAATCACCAGAGGCAAAATCACCTGAAGTCTCTAAATCGATAGCTAAAAAGGTACGATAGTTACAGAAAAGACACAAAAGATACACTACATATTTATAGCATGATATACATCAGCATACAAAAGGCACACCAGAATAATTAGACAATTACTTATTTTAAACTACACAGTGTGACATAGAAATAAAACATAAATAATATGAAAATTCTTTTGTCTTAGAAGAAAACCACTTCAATAGGGACAAATTTCTCAATGTTAACTAAATTTTATGGATTTGTAGACATATAATGAGCGCCAGAACAACTGAAAGAGATTTAAGTCCAACTTAATATTGTGTTAAATTTATCCTTTGATTCAGGCTATGTTCTTTTGTTGCAAAAGAAGTGGAAAAGAGTAATGTAAGACTTTTTTTTTTTTTTTAAATGAAAATCTTTTATTGCCATTTTTTATATCTGGGATATCAAATAAAGGTGACATGGGGATTCTTGGAAGAAGTTGCACCGTGCGGCAGGGAAGGGAAAAATAAGGGAAGATTTAGCTAGGATCTTTTGGCAATTCCCTCAAACATAAACTGAAAAAAAAAGTCAAACTGAATTCACTAGTATGCTGATTACCCAAAGGGATTTCATCAAGTATTTTGGGGCTTGTCTAATGCTGCTCTAGAAAATTAATTTTCCCTAGGTTTATATATACTATGCCAAGCACATGTAAGAGTTGCAAAAATAACGAAGTACTAACAATAACAAATTATAATTTGTTATTTTTTGTTTCAAAATCCATGTAGTTGGGTCCCACATCTGTTCTTACTGAAGAAATTTCATCTGGCTGGTATTCAAAGGGAATAACAGCTCTAAATCAAATGCCACAAAGAGTTCTTAACTTACCACATTCTGCCGCACCGGTTGTCCTGGATCCTGTTACCTCATTACCGTATCTGTCAACACACCAGCACTGCCCTATGCTTCCATGGCACTGACTTGGTTTGTAATACCCATCTTCATCACATAAGGGGATGTACTGCCCTGTGATATATAAACACTGAATATTAAAAACTGCCTCGTGGCCAATGTAACAATTACAGCAGAAAGTAACTACCTTTTGCTGTTTTCTCATTCCAGTCTCTACACTGACTGGTGACTAAATGTATCAAATGTGGGAGGGGAAATAACATGTATCAGTCTTGGGATGATTTCAAGAAATAAAGTGACCAATCTTGCTTTAAATTTTTCATTGATCCTGTGACACATATTCCTTACTCCCTGAACCTCTCAGTCAAGATCTTTGCTGCATTCTGAGGAAAAGGCTCAAATGTAGCACCCAACCCTGAATGGGATGTTTTTTAATCTGTGGAGTACAAACAAGTCTGAATAATAAGGGCCAGGCTTCCTGGACTAACAAACTATCTGCAACAAGGTTTAGGAGCTGTTTTTCTTTAATATATATTTTACAATCCATTTAGTTACCTACTAATATTTAATTGCCCCACCACAGAAGACAAATGCAGTGTAACACACCAATTTTATCAACAACAAATATAAAAAAAGAATGTTAGATTTGCATTTATATGTAAAATACCTAGGCAAATTAGGCTTTAAGCCAAAACGGTTCCCCACCAAGAGTACAAGAGACACAATCAGGGACTTATTTTGTGAGGCAGTGACTTGCCGAAGGATGAATAATCCACGGTTTTTCATTTGGAATGAATGGAGACTTTTTGAAAGAAACATAAGATGTAGACAAACCACAATGAACAAAACATTCATATGAAAGCATTTTGATGTGTATGGTTGTAGTTAGAAACTGTCCTTAGCAGAAATACGGTTTTGACTACTTTGGGCCAAGCCTTTTATTGCAGCTTTTATACAGTGGCTAACGGTAAAATGAAGATTTTACATTTCAGTAATATTGATACAGTATAAACTGATTCACAACAAAGATTTCAATTACTTAAAGAATATTACAGGTAAAGGATGAGCAGAGATACTAATTTAGGAGTGTCTTAGACTGTCCCTTCTATAACTGTAAAAACTTACCTTCTATTAGGGTAATAAAACAGATGTAATACCTTTTGGTAGGTAAGGTAATAAAACTAAGTTTAATAGCTTTCAAAAATTTCATAAATTTTGTTGCTGGAATTTACTGCAGTCTATCTTTGTTGGATTAATATTGATTTTATGTTGCTGTTTCACTAGGGTTATTTATGTAAGCAATAAAACCTTCAAAAGAATGATCTATGGCTCACCTAGGAGCTTCTTCCCTCCTTGCTGCTTCTGAATGTTGCTGAGTTCTGTCTGGCAAGGTGGGTCTAAAATGACATAAAAACGTTAAACAGATTACACTGTATCTAGGAAAGAAAGTATATGACTAAGTTTTCACAGTTTGCTATGTTCTAAGGTCACTCTAACTACTGATCTTAAGAAACACACGCACCCTGCATTAGTAGTCATGTTGTAAGCTCTGAAATAAAAGAATTACTGCATGTTACTACAGCTCCAGAATTATGAATTAGAGCAGCACCATGGATTTGTGCAGAAGGCCACTCCCAGTTAACCCAGCTGTAAGTGAGCATCCAATCACTACTCTGGAGGATCAAGGAATACTAGACCAAAATAGTAACTCTATTATACCCTATTTTATCAGTCTACAGAAATCAGAGTGTGACTGTGAAGCTTACCTCATGTATTGGTTAGAAACAGGATGGCTCTTTTAATTCTTTCCCTTTTGTCCTTGTTAGAAGTCATGTTCAAGTTTTGTATTTCACGTACTACACTAAGAAAATAAGAATTTTCTCCACTGAAGTCTGCAAGATTGTGATTCTATTGCAACAATTTAAGACTGAATCCCATGGGTACAAAGCCCCATGTTCAGCAAACTAAGTTAAAAACAGTGGCCAAACTTTACATAGTTCTATGAGGCAGAATAGGTATTAAAATTCAGTTTTCCATTCTTCAGAGTTATAGCTTACTCCAGTTCTGAATCATTTGATTTTCTGCTGTCTATAAAAGCAAGTCACAGTATGCCCCATGCATGGGAAGGAAATAAGACCTGAATCTGTATACGTTACTGTTGAACAAGTGAAAGAATCAGACAGCAAAGTACTAATCCCTGAATACTGATCTTGCGTACTACATTAGACTATTACTACAAAGGCATTTCTCATTCTGAATAAGCAGTAGTATTACCGAGTTTACTCACAGGTCTCTTTAGCTTAAACTGTTCCCAGAAAATATTCTGATAACATCTCACTAAAATCTCACACTCTATGAATATTAAAAGCATTTTCCATTTTAGCAGACTCTGATTATTTAGAATACATCTTTGCCATGCATTTAACTCAAGGATCCCTTCTGAAATATAGTGAAATTACTTTTTTTTCCATGCAAACAGAAAAAAAATCTTCTGAGCTAGTTTAAAGATGAGTAAGACTGGCCTAGCTTATTGATGAAGCACACACTTAGAGCAGAACCCAGTCACTTGTGCAGGACAATGGGTAGGCAAAAATCACTTGAGTGGTGATAGTCCAAAGCAGCCTTTCCTGAGTTCCTCCTAAAGGAAAACAAGACTGCTCACCATTTGCCAGCTGAGAGCAGCACAAGATGCACAAAGGCGTGCAGGAACAGCAAGAATACATTATAATACATGAAGGTACCTTTCTTGTGGAAATGCTCGAACTGGTGACAAATGCCTATATGAACTGGGGATCAAAAATATATTCCTGGTGAACACGGAGCCTCTTGGCTGGTGTAGCCTAGATATACTAATAGGCCTTTGGTATTATTCATGAGCTCTTATCTAACAGAGTAAATAGAAACTGGAAGACAATAATAACCCCTTACTGACAGCAGGCTGTTAATTTCTCTTGGCTTTACATTTGAAATGCTATTTACATATCCCATACATTTAAAGAAGCTTATAAACATTTAGAGTGGCCTTGCCTCTGGTGGGCCAGGTTTTCACACTAAATCTATAATGATTCTTTTTAGAGTGAAGGCCTTAAAAGTAGGCTCTACTTTTAAAATACTGGAACAAATTTTCAAGAGATGTCCTTCCAGACAACCAAGCACTTTTCTGCGTATGCTCTTGAAAACTGCTGGGACTTGACATTGGCATTGGTTTCTAAGTATTTAGTCTTTGAGTATTTGCTGAGGGTATATAAAGTTTTGCATTTCTTGTTGTAAGAAGTGCTTTGATGATGATCATGCTCACTATTATGCCAGAGATGTTCATTACCTTTCAAAACTAAGGTTTCTGTCTTTCCTGATATTTAAAGAGTCAAGCTCTTAATTGTACAACATTCTGAGGATCAATTATTTCTTAAACCAAAGGTATTTCAAATTAATCGGTAATCTAAAAAATGATAGTCATTTATGCACACAAGTACCACAGGCTAGAAGGATCTAGGATTGTGGTGGACTTGGCAGTATTAGGTTAACAGTTGGACTCGATGATTTTAAAGGTCCTTTCCAACATAAATGTCTCTATTCTATTCTGTCTTTCAAAGAAGGTGGGAAATACGCTGAAGGAGAACAACTAGTCAAATAGGAAAAATACATGTATGTTGTTCAATGGAAAAAAATCCTAAATTAGAAAGACAGAGTTGCACACATGAGTACTATCATGTGGAAATGTAAAAATGATGGACTATGCTTAAAGAAAAACAATCTTTATTTACAGCTATAAATCTTTGGTGGTATAATTACAAAAAGGAATACCACTAACCAAAAGGTAACAAGGCAATATGAGAAAGTTACTTACCCAAAACTCTCTTCTTCTCAGAAGCTAGGTCTTCAAGATTCACACTTAAGCTTTGCTTTCCAGGATAAAAGCAGCAAAAACTCTTAACAATACTAAATCACTCTGGTGCTTAAAACTGTCAAAGAGAATGGCAGTTCAACCAACTCCTTTTGGTCCACAGCATATCCTTTTTCCGCTCTCCCCAAATCATAATGCTTCCCTCTTTATTTTCCAGTTAGCTCCTGAGTTTGGAAAAGCTTACTTTTAGATTTCTGAACTTATTTCAATAAAAAAAGCAGTGTCACTGGACAACTTTTGGGAGTTTTGAGCCAAAGAGAAAAAATTCCTTTACAAAAATCAGTGTGGTGGCTTCCTTTGAAAAATGAATCTGACACCAGTCTTTCTGGTAATCTGAACACCAATAAGAGACCTAATCATCTTCATCCTTAATCTACTTCCACAGATGTGGCAGGAATTGTCTTTCTGACAGTATCACTGCATTGTTATGAGTGATTCATGAACACTTAATAGCAGCTATCCACAGTTCCTCAGTGCTCAAAGTACTGATGTATACCAGAGTATCCCATGTTATTAATACTGGCTCTTGAGACATCCATATTCAGTTGTGTCAAGAGGTGTTGCAAGGCTAGTACGATTAATCTTTGATTTACCAAAAAGAGGCACATTAACAGAGCAATGGGAGTAAAACTGGTAGATGTGACAAAAAATCTAGGATTTTTAACAGACTTGTCTCAAGGAGCTGCTACCCACACAGTGAGCCTCCAGCTTTCGCAGATTCTCCATCTTATTTAGTTACAAAACAGTGATTTTCCATCTATCAAGTAGACAATATTTGGTAGAGCCCCTAGCTTCTGGCATATGGTCCACTGCAGATTAGGCTGTCATGTTGTGCCTTGCCTGTGCTTGGGGTCAAGTATTATAATTGTTCTTGGACAACCGAGGCTGGAACTTTAGGGATTTGAATACTGCACTTCAAGAAGTCTTTCTGGGGACCTCAATTATGTGTTAAGGCATGCTACACCTTCCTTTAAAATAATCTATAAATATATTTGAAGTCCTGCAATCTGAAAAGACTGATGTAACAAACATGAATCACGATAATTATCATTATTCTGCAAGATGGACTAGTTTTAAAGTCATAAAGATGTCTTCCAGCCTTGACAGACAGAAAAGCCTGCAAGAAAAAGGCATAAAAAGCATCTAGAGAAGTGCTGGACTAATAGATCCATGCAGAGGCCTGCAATAAAGAAAAACTTAGGTGCTAAGTATTAATATTCCCAGCAAAATTGGGTACTCTCCTACTCTGAAGCAGTGATGCAACAAAAATAAGGCTGTAATAATGATGAAGTACTGGCAGAAAGAATGTCAACCCATAAAAAAGCCAACACTGCAAGTGCCTCAGCATTTAGATAAGCACTAAAGTGTTAAGCTAGCGTCAAACAACTAAGAAACAAGTTCTGAAGATGGGCACTGAAGCACAGGCATGAACTGTAGTTGAAACTAGAGGGCAATAGCAACCAAAGCATACAGGAAGACTTGCCAAGAGCAGTGGCAAAGTGCAAATTTTCAAGTATTGCAGAAATGCATTATAGTATCTTGGATGTATCTGAGAAATACTAAACTACACTTAAAGCGGAATAAGGCCAAGAAAAAATGCAATAAGCACCACTGAGCTGTACAGAAGTGTTTAAGCATTAGTCAAGGTGGGACAGCTACTACAAGAAGATCTTTTTCTGAGCAAGAAAGATCTGACTTAAGTATTCAGAAGAAGTTGCTTATATTGACTAGAAGTTGTGAGTAATGTGCAGTAATGGGTCTAGTGCACTGTAATGTATCATGACAGACCTCAAATAGAAAGAAAGAATGAAGACGACTTGCAAGTACTTATCCTGACAGTCTTGAACTGTGAAGCTAAGATCAGAGCAAGAGGGTTTCTCAGATAATGAATCACTCAAGCAAATACTATGTATCTTAAAAAAGCAGAATGGAATTTCTATCCCAGTACGATACATTTTATTGACTAAATTTTGTATTCCCTTTGAACATTGTTAATCAACAGCAGTGCTGTAAAATTGTTGATCTTCCCAGAAAGTACCTAAGCTCAATGAATACAGACAGCTGTCTACATGGCTTGAAGCATTCTGTTAATATCAACTTATTTTAGTAAATATCAGAAAGAAGCCACTGAATTTCTCTACCTAGCCATTTCTTTGCTATTAATAGCAAAGTTCTAGTTAAAGGTCTTATTTAGATTGTTCAATCAAGTAAAACATAACCAAACATGAACATATTACAAGGTTTAGCATAACACTGCAAATTATGAATAGAGAATTCAGTGGGTCACTAATACACTAGGGAGTTAGGACTCAGTTGAGCAAGAGCTAATAGTAAGATGTGACAAAAGACTATAAGCTTTTTTTCTCCTTGAACCTTCAAAAAAGAAGAAGAATACAGAATTTGTTGACAGTGTTAATTTGGAGGGATGGAGTGCATGTTTAATGTGCACGGATTGTCAAAACTGAGATTTCACCTCATTTATGATGTTGAGGATATATCTTTTTTACTATATGCTCAAAACCACTGTGGCATCAAAAAGTATCTAATCTGCACCTTACCACAACACCATGGTCAAGACAGTGAGGAAACTGGTAGAAAGGGAAGAAAAGCTTGATAATGTTGGATTCTGCAATGGGACAATCAGTGTCACTGAAAGCCGGATCCCAGAATTTTAGCCTTTGCGGTACCATTAATATAATTCAGTAGTGTTTAGATCAGTTTTTATGATACCATGCTGGGTTCTAGCAGTACACTGAGCAAATATTCTAGACAAACATTATTTATAGGCTATAGAATGCAAAACTACTTGAAACTAATCTCTGGAATTGCTTTCTTAATGCCCTGGTTATGCTGTACACACATTATATGAAACTGATAGTGAGCCAATTGGTAGAAGAACCTTGGACCATAGTAGGCCACATGCTATGTGCTGTACTTTCTCTGACAATTGAAAAGAATTATGCTGCTCTCCAAAGAGTTAGGATGTTTATATATTAAGCTTAAATGATTGTGGTGGTGTTTTTTTTATTTTAAAGACAACCACACAAAACATGTTATGTTCTGTACTTTAAGAACCACTTTACTTCTGGCATGGGTTATTTTTCATTACTAATTTTGTTAGCAGTACATACACGCTTATAAAAATAAAAGCCAAAATATTGTTCTACTATGAAACAAACAACATGTTTTGAAAGATTATATATAAACTTTTTAACTACAAAGTTACCAAAGAAAAGAAGTCTGGTATTTGGTATGTATCTACAGAAGTACACCTTTATTTTTGTTCAGATTTACAACGGGCAGATGTGGCATGATAAAAATTTTATTTTCACAGAAGTCAAACCATAGATGCTGAGAGCTAATGGGAATTTACAACAAGAGTTTTAAGGGAACAAGTGAGATTTAAAAATTGATATTAAAAATTGTCAAAAAGGCTGAACTGACTTTCCAAACTTCACACCAAATCAGTCTTACCTCTTCTGCTGGCAGTAGAAATTTGGACCCCGATTGCTATTTATTCCTTTGAAAATCTCCCTCATGTTAGTATGAAAAATGAAGGGACAATTTTGTCCAGTTTCAGCCAATATTTAATGAGTAAATTCTTTGATTCATTACAACTAGTTTGATTATATAATTTATGTGATGCCTCACCTAGATCTAAAATTGTTATATGATCCTCAGGAAAATAATGCTTAAGGGTTGCATTTATTTGTTTAACCAAATCACATCAGGGCATTAACAAGAGATTCATCTAGGCAGTAAAAATCAATTGGGTTTAGGTCCAAATGACTGGAAATAACTTTATCCATAATTTTCATTCAGTTATTTTAATAGATTCACAAAACAGAACATTAAGATGCCCTACTTTAGCAATAAAAAAGTTTATTTTATAACCTAGGCAAAGTAGATTGCGAAATAAATAATTTAAGTAATTTTGTTCTTTATTTTGGTCTCTTTCCTCTGCATACTTACTGGAAGTTGGCATGAGAAACAATATTGCTGTAAAAGTATTAGCTGCTGTTTCACACTTTATTTAGAATCCTTGAATTACTAGCAAGCCTTTCCATTAAGCTTGGGTTGTTTGTTTGTTTAGGTTTTTTACTTCATTTTAGGTATTCACAATAGGTCAACAACCTTAACACAAATTCATGGTACAGCATTTAAGAGCTTGTAGTTCACTGTAATCTTCTTAATATGCTAAAAAAAGATAAAGCACTACAAAAAGGTCAGTCATATACATATGCAGGTTGTTCTCATCTTTTACCTTGCTGTCTTTGGAAGCAGTAGCACCACTCATTGTTAGATATCAAACTGTCCTTGTATGTGTCACAAGAATTGAAGAATGCCCTGGTGCATGGCTCATTCTTGTCAAGGTAAATGCTTCCAAGTTCTGACTGGTCCAACAACAGGTCATAGTTCGTATCAAGCCTGTTAAACATCCAGCCAAGGGAGTCTTTGCAAATTGGCAAAATGCTGGTATCAAATCCTAAGAGAAAGGAGGCGGGAGGAAAAAAAAAAAATCATATAGCAGGAAAGATACAGCAGCTGCTGAGCTCAGCCACAACAAAAGAATGCTGCATCATGGAAATTGCTCCAGTGGTACATATATACACTACATAAACAGTGTATGCTATTGAAATACTACTTATAAATTATATGTCAGCTTCATTTTAAAAAATCATTAAATTAAGCTGCTAAAAAAATTAATCCCATCATCAGTCTCAAAGCATTTAGAAATATGAGTTTTCTTGTCAGACATTATACCTATAGCACACACATTATGTACAGTAATAAATGATCTACAGTGATTTCCTGGAAAATAATTCTGTTGACAAATTTTAGTGATATTATAAATCAGGAGAGTGAAGCTCAAGTGGTTTGCAACATTCACAGAACTAAGAAGAGAATAAACTCCAGGTAACTTGTTGGAGTCCATTTTTTTCTTCCTATAACATATTCAATTCTACAAAAAAGGAACATGATACTCAGCCTCAGCAATGCCTTGAAAGTTATGGTATTTTATCTTTACCTGATATACTTTACATCTAGGAGGAGGCTATGGAAAAGATGATTGCTAAGAGCAGCTGTCTGCCAGTATCAGACCTACTAGTACAGTTTGCATCTTCCTAAATTGTTGCTTGGAAAAAGGGCTATCAGGAACAGGCTGAGTTAATTATTCCTGCAGCCAGAGCTCAGGACTCATGTTTGTTTTTTCTGCATCAAATGTAAAGTACGTGCAGACTTGCATATGGACATGGATGGCAAATTCAGAAACTGCCAGGTCTCTTGCCTATGTAGATGATATGAGCTGCACTTGATATACACATACGTTTTTTCCTGTTCATGTGCTATGGGTCATACCCCAGGCTTACGGTGCACATGGCCAGGCAGTTGAGTATACATCCTAATACATAACAAGATTTAGTGCTACTAAATACTGTTCTTCTAAAAACTTTTAAGCTAAAACTGAGCACTGAAAAAATGAGATTGCTGAATACGCCTATAGAAAAGTTGATGTGAGACCACACAAGAATTCCCAGTTTCTACTGCTGTTAAAATCAAACCTGCCTGTCTTTGCTGTTGTACATAAGATAAAGAAATCTGAGAAGTGTTTCTATACTGCTAAAATGGGGCAACTTGCATAACTCAGTGATCAGATTTAGAAATCTGTAGATTTTCCTTTAGATATATAAGTGCGTGGAAATGTCCATGCTATGGTGGAACAACCATTTCAGAAAGGAAAAGAAGAAAGTTGACAGCACCAAAAACTCCCTGTGGAAGTCAGACAAGCACATAAACTCCCCATCCCCAGAAATCCCAAATTATCTATGACTTTTTATCAGGGTAGTCTCACTTTTTCTTGCTCCCTGTTGATCTGCTGCATTTATTATTCTTTCTGCTTGACAGAAAGAAAAGAAAAAAGCAAAAAAATAAAGCAAGCCATTTCATATTTATGATATTTTTGATGTGTTTAACACAATTTAAAAACATAGCCAAGCATTCAACTAACGGACTCCCTCTTCCTTCCTCTCCAGCCCCTGATAAAACATCAAGACAAAAAAAATTATGGTTTTTTTGTGGGTTAGGAAGAACAGAGAGACAGGACCTGGCTGAATGAATAAGGATCCATAGTAGATGTGTTCTTCAACTTTATCTGTAAAAGATATCAAAATTATTTAACAGGTGTTTCTGATTTGAAAAATTCTGGAAGGTTCCTCCACCTTAAAACATTTTGTCTAAGGATGAATGTCCAGTATAACATTATTTACCTCTAATGCTCTGTTCCTGAAGGCCTCTTAACACTTTCCAGGTATTTCTCTTTGCTAGTCCTGCTTTTAGCTAGAGATCCTCCTCAAGACCTTGAATTCAGAAAGGGGTCGATGTGAAACATACTGTTTCCTATCCTGCCTTTTGTGTACCTGCATGAAGGGAGGAATTATTCTTGTGCTCATAAAATTTTCCTGAATTTGGCATTCTGGCCAGCTCACCAAACTGTAAGACAGGTTACAGAAAAAGAGCAACCATGAGGA